AAAGCCATTGATAGAACGAAGTGCTACCAAAACGTACTGTTGCGTCATCGAGGTCACGTGAATGGTGTGGCGCCACCTATTTTCTAGAACTATCTTGTACCTTGGCGAATGCTCTAGTATTTACTAGATATAGGGTAGTCTGGTATATAAAAGAGGGTGACAACGTGACGGGATAATAATGTGTGTGTGTAGACAGTGAGTAATTGAACTGCAGTCAGAGAGAGACGTATTGTTGAAGTTAACGTTCGTTCGTTATAGTGTTTGTTTTAGCGCGAATATTGAAATTAAGTGTATCGTAAAGTTATATTCGGAAAGAATAAACCAGTTTTATTAAGTAAGGACTTGTGTCGCTAAAGTTTCGTTGGAACGAAGTTACGGAAAGTTAATTAACAAACGGAGACGTAACAAATTGGTGTCAGAAGTGGGATAGAAAAAAAAAAGAGAGAAGAAAATTGGAAACGAGAGGCGGAAAATCAAACTACAGCTTAGCAGATTTGATGGCAGCAATACAGAAACAAGAAGAGAAATTACAACAGTTGTTAGAGGAAAAAGAAAAGAAACAAGAAGAACGAGAAGAGAAATTACAACAGTTGTTACAGGAAAAAAGAATAGAAACAAGAAGAACGAGAAAATAAACAAGAAAAGAAACAAAAAGAACGAGAAGAGAAATTACAACAGTTGTTAGAGGAAAAAGAAAAGAAACAAGAAGAGAGACAATAGCAGTTGCAAGAAAACCTACAACAATGGCAGCTCGAACAGCAAAATAAACAAGAGAGATTACAACAGTTGTTGGAGGAAAAAGAAAATAAACAAGAAGATTACAGCAGTGGCAACTGGAACAAGAAAGGAAACAGGAAGAAAGTCAGCAGCAACTACAGGAAAATCAACAACAATGGCAAGAGGTACAAATGGAAAACATCAGTAAATTTAAAAGCGAATTAGATATGTTAAAGGACGATTTGTTGTGCGTTACACAAGGAGGATACACTAGCCATCGACTTAATCAGTCCCAGACAATGGCAAGCCCCTTACAGAGCCCGCAGCTAAATCTTAATGCAGACATATTCAGTTCTGTTAG